CCCCAAAACCCCAAAACCCCAAAACCCCGTTATAGAAATAATAGATTTTTATAGGTGATGTTGCTTTAAACCTTATACTTAAATAAAAATCCACATTAATTCAGATTAAAAAAGATAGAGATATTTAGCGTTTATTTAAAATTAAAGTCTCATAATATTTGATGTTAGTTTGTTGTCTATTAAATATAAAGAATCCTCTATAGTTTGAAGCAAAGAAGTATTCAATATATAAAGCGACAACACGAAGCGAAATCAATCACTCCTTTACATTTTCAAATCTTAGGAATTCAGTCCTTGATCTTATTTTTGATAATACCAGCATCTATCATACTTTGAGCCATGTCGATGATAGACTTCTAAGGGTAAATGTATTCAATACCAAGCACTTCTTTAGATTTTTTGTTATCTAGATTGAGTTTCCTTCCCCACATAGGAATTAGCATTTAGACTGATTTGTCAAACAAGGCAGCGATTTTAACAGTACAGTATGCTAATTCTCTATCTCTGATTTTGTAGTATTTTCCGAATTCACTTTTCAATGCAGCGGCTATTTCAAAGAACCAGACTCCTTTACCACTAAGTATGAATCTATTGCCATTTGCTTCTTCAACCTCGAGTCCTCTCAAATGGGCATAGGCTACATTTCTGACATCAACAATAGGGAACATGATCTTTGGCACTCCTGGGAACTTCTCAGCCATAATCTTTTAGATTACCAGGCCAGAGGTGAAATCAGATGAAATAAGACTTGGCCCGAAAATCAAAGATGGATTAATGGTGACAAGCTCAAATCTCTCATGCTCTGGAAGTCCTTTTAAGTATTCCCAAGCAGCTTGCTCAGCTAAGGTCTTAGATTTCTCATAAGGCTCACATCCTTTGAGGTTAGACCAATCTGCTTCAGTGTAAATGTCCTTAGATGTTTCCTAAGTCTAAAACATTATAGAGGCAACGCTTGATGTGATGACAACTCTCTTTACTTTATACTTGTGAGCGGCTCTTAATACTCCCATTGTTCCTTCAACAGCAGGTGTAATGATTTCATTCTCATCCTTTGGGGTTTCACTTGGAAATGGTGATGCAGTATGTATTACGTAATCCATGCCTTCAATTGCTTTGTCCAGAGATTATGCGTCCATTAGATCAGCTTCAACTAATTCTAGTTCATTAAAATGGTCACCAAAAGCTTTTCTGAGAGGAGCAATCTTCTTTTCATTGTTCCTATCTCTAACGGTACCTCTAACTCTATACCTTCCCGTTTCTAAGAATACCTTGCACACATGAGAGCCAAGGAAACCTGAGATTCCTGTGATGACGACTTACTTTCTTTCACTTTCCATAGTAATTATATATTAATTAACTAAAAGCAATATATTTATATACAATTATGACGCATCAATATTCTTAAAGTACGCATTACATTAACTGACAAAAATCACCCAACTATATTATGTATTTCATTCTTATCTCTATCAATCTCGAATTGGGGTTTTGGGGTTTTGGGG